ATGTCGTCGCATCAGCGCTATTAAGGAAGGCCTGAACAGAAGCAATGGAGGCCATTCCATCAGAAAACGTTAACTGTTTGGCCCAAAAACCTTGGGTTTTCCAAAACTTGCCAGGAATTTTCTGGCCGGTGAAGCCCTAGTAGGCTCATTAGGCGTTGGGGTAAATTTAGGCCAAATTTGACGCAATTTGAAGCTTTGGTTCAACTGAAAATGATCAGCGCTCATAACTGATTGGTGTATGATGCACACGTGACTTTCGCAGATTTTTGCACGATATCTCGAAAAATAAAATGTGCAGGAGCTTTCTGGCAACGCCACTGGAAAGACAAGGAGAAAACGCGCAAAAAAGTTGGTATCCACTTTTTTGCTCCAGCGAAAGATAAATTAGCCACGAGGGGATTTTCCGTTTTGGAACTGAAATGAAAATTTTTTGATTTTTTCGGAATTTTCCAAAATTTTTTCTTGGCATGGAGGATGCTTCACATGCTTCAGAACGATGTTGTCAGCAAATTTTAATGAATTTGGAAGCAATTTGGCCGTTCTGTTGCACTTTAAAAATTTATAATTAATAATTTAATAGGAAGAATATTTAAATCGAAAAACTCGCCACCTTCATCTGCCTGACTGTATAAATTCTAGGTTTGAGTGGCAAAAAAATATTTTTAGGAATTTTTTTGATGCGAAATTTTTGGAAACACTGTAAAACGCTATTTAGATCGTGTGCAGTTTGAAGAAAATTGCGAAAAATCCTCAAAAAAATATTTAAATCGCAAAACTCGCCACCTTCGTCAATCTGACTGTTTAAATTGTAGGTTTGAGTGGCAAAAAATAATTTTTAGGAATTTTTTCCAGCAAAATTTTTGGAAACAATGTGAAACGCTATTTAAATCGTGTGTGGTTTGACGAAAAATTGCTAAAAATTCTCAAAAAAATATTTCAATCGAAAAACTCGCCACCTTCATCAGTCTGACTGTTCAACTTGTAGGTTTGAGTGGCAAAAAAATATTTTTATGAATTTTTTTGCTACGAAATTTTTGAAAACACTGTAAAACGCTATTTAGATCGTAAGTGGTTTTAAGAAAAATTGCGAAAAATCCTTAAAAAACATTTAAGTCGAAAAACTTATCACCGTCATCAGTCTGAATGTTTAAATTCTAAGTTTGAGTGGCAAAAAAATATTTTTAGGAATTATTTTGCTGCAAAATGTTTGGAAACACTGTAAAACGCTATTTAGATCGTGTGCGGTTTGAAGAAAAATAGCGAAAAATCCTCAAAAAAATTTTTAAATCGAAAAACTCGCCACCTTTATCAGTCTGAATGTTTAAATTGTAGGCTTGAGTGGCAAAAAAATATTTTTAGGAATTTTTTTACTGCAAAATTTTTGGAAACACTGTAAAACGCTACTTAGATCGTAAGTGGTTTGAAGAAAAATTGCGAAAAACCCTCAAAAGAACATTTAAATCGAAAAACTCGTCGCCGT